CCTCCCGGCTGCCCAGGGCGCGCAGCGGCAATGGGGGCGCTGCTGGCGCTCTGTCTTCTCCTGGGCTGGCTGCGCTGGGACCCAGCTGTTGCCCAGCAGCCCGGCGAGTACTGCCACGGCTGGGTGGACGTGCAAGGCAACTACCATGAGGGTTTCCAGTGCCCAGAGGACTTCGATACGCTGGACGCCACAATCTGCTGCGGATCCTGCGCGCTCCGCTACTGCTGCGCTGCGGCCGACGCCAGGCTGGAGCAGGGAGGCTGCACCAACGACCGCGGAGAGCTAGAGCACCCCGGCATCACCTCGCGTAAGTGCGGGGCCTTGGGGGCCAAACCTTCGTGCGACCCAGAGGGCGCGCCAGGTCTCACTGAGTCTGTGCGCAAAGTGAACCCATCTGGGTAGGGGATCAAGGGAGGATGGGTGGTTGCGTTTCGGGTCTGGGGCTCCATTCTTTTGTGGTTCACCATGAGTCTGTGGAAGGCGAAGTTTGCAGGGAAAAGCGAAGACAGCGGGGCTTGCACCTGGTGGCTCTGCGGGAAAGAGTTGGAGCTTCCGGGAGAAGGGACGTCTGGGCAGCGCCACCCTAGGCTTGGGATTTTTTAGGAATGGCCCGGGGCTTCATTGCACTCTCCTTCACTTCAGGAGTTTCAGAAAGTGCTGTCGGGGAAAGAACACGACTTTGTAAAGCCGTCATTCCTAGCCTCGCTGGGTCACAGAATTAGCCTCGTGACATTTAGCCGCTGTCGGGTTCTCCCGACTTCCTTTCATTTCTCTGCATCAAATTACTCTCTCTGGCCCACCCCCTATTGTCGCGCCTTTCAGAAATACCGGGGTCTTCGAGGTGGAGATTTAGAAGCTAGGGTCGCAGGGGCTTCCCCGCCCCCCTATTCTCACGTCGGAAAACATGGGTCAAATTTCCGCTCCCTTCAGAGCTGAATAAATCACGACCCCAGCAGTGGAAATTTACACCTTGAAAAAAAGTTTTCACCTGAATGGGAACGTCGGGGAAAACTTTTAGAGTGGGAGACGCTAGTTTTAAGGCCGAGAAACCGGAGAAGCAGGCGGAGCTGAGAACCAACCACTCCCCAGGACTCTGAGGCCTGCAGACCACAAGGGAGGAGAGACTGGAGAGATTTTTAGTGTTGGTGGAAGCCCCTTCCCCTCAGACTGATAACCCAGAGAGAGGGACGTCTGTGCTTCTTTAGCACTTTATTAGACTCTCTTGGGATTTAATTTTGGGGTTGAAAATGTCCAGTCTAGAAGGCTTGGAAGTTATTCCTGGAGAAAAATTGCAGTGGAAAGTAGGGAACCTTAGGCTATCCTGGGTCTGTTTGGAAAAACGGATTTCCCCTATGGCTTCCCTCCTCTCGCCTAAGGACTGGGTTCCTCTCAGCGCTGAAAGCTAATTGCCCAGTCTGCAGCATGGCTTTTGGGCTTCTTTGGTGCCAGAGGCTAGAGGGGCAGTTAGTCTCCCAAATCCTGAAGTCTGGGATTAGGCAGACCCTAGATGGTGGCTCTGTCATTTGCCAGCCCTGTGACCTTGGGCAAGTTGCCTAGCTGCTCTGGACTGCTTCTCAGTTTTAAAATGAGCATACTGCTCTCCAAGTAGTTAGTTTGCAGATTAGGTGAGTGTCATGAGGCTCAGCCCAGTTCATTCATGTT